GGGAGGGAGGGAGACAAAGAGGGAAGAGATATGGAAACATATATATATGTATAACTGACTCACTCTGTTATAAAGCAGAAACTAACACACCATTGTAAAGCAATTATACCCCAATAAAGATGTTAAAAAAAAAAAAAAAAGCTGCACTCTGAACTAAATTAAATAGAGTTGAGTTTAGAATTTTAATTAAGATGAATGAAAGTATTTTAATACCCTACTACAGTTGGATGTGTAGGAGAAGGAAAGAAATAACTGCTTTGTCAAAGCACACATCAGTGGACTTCCCTGGTGGTGCAGTGGTTAAGAGTCTGCCTGCCAGTGCAGGGGACATGGGTTCGAGCCCTGGTCCTGGGAGATCCCACATGCCGCCGAACAACTAAGCCCATGTGCCACAGCTACTGGGCCTGCGCACTGGAGCCTGTAAGCCACAACTACTGAGCCCGAGTGCCACAACTACTGAAGCCCACGCCCCTAGAGCCTGTGCTCTGCAACAAGAGAAGCCACCCAATGAGAAGCCTGTGAATCGCAACAAAGAGTAGCCCCCGCTCGCCGCAACTAGAGAAAAGCTGGCGCGCAGCAACAAAGACCCAGGGCAGACAAAAATAAAAATTAATTAATTAAAACAAATTTTTTTAAAAAGCACACATCAGTAATATTTCCAGATTTAGTTTCAGGGTTAAGTAAATAACAAAGTGATAATCATACTGTTCTGCACCAGACCTACAGACATATTTGTTTTGAAATCATTGCTCATGGAAATAATCCTAAAATTATAATTAGGGAAATCATGAAAGACCTTGACCAAAAAAAAAAAAAAAATGAGAGCGATAAGGATCAGCAGTTTGAATATTCAATATAAGTCCTAGTAATAGTCCAGAACTTAAAGTAATATCTATTTTTCTTTAATGGTTTAAGTAGTCTCTCCCAGAAAAATTTTTAAATATGGCAAATGATAGCAACCTCTCTTTAATAGAGCTAAATATATTTTGCAAGTAACCTTATGAATTAGAGGGTGACCAAGCCAGTAGGAAGGAAGTAGAGAAGAAAAGTAGAGAAGACATAAACAGAGATAGCAACGACCAAAGGCCAACACTCATACACTTACAAGTATGCAAGTTTTTGCTAAAATCTCTGCACTCAAACATCACAACCGTCCAATGACAACAGGGTTGCTAACACACAATGTGGCGTGATTGTGATGTGGGTGTGTATTAATTTATAAGGTGGGGTATGAAAGCTAGAGGGTTGACACCTTTGAATTAAAATTTTTTTTCCATTCAGTCATCAAACCTGTATTAAACCTAGCAGGAACAAGATGAGGAATAAGAAAGTATGAGAAAGATATATTCTCTGCTCTCTAAAATCTTAGATATAGTCTTGTAGAGGAGATGACAGACATTTTTGATAAAGAACACTTAACAAAAGTGTAAATGAGGGACTTCCCTGATAATCCAGTGGTTAAGACTTCGCCTTCCAATGCAGGGGATGCGGGTTCAATCCCTGGTCGGGGAGCTAAGATCCCACATGCCTCACGGCCAAAAAAACCAAAACATAAAACAGAAGCAATATTGTAACAAATTCAATAAAGACTTGAAAAATGACCCACATCAAAAAAGTCTTTAAAAAAAAAAAAGAGTGAATGACACAGCACATGATTAATCACCAAACAAATATTGAAGGAGTAAGTGTTAAGTGATATATGAGTTTGGATAAGAGAGAAAAAAGTCAATGGAATTTCAGAAAGGTCTTAGTAGAAATAGCTCAATCTACCCTACCACATTTTTTTCATGTTTTTTAGGGCACATTTGATTATTCTCTTCTCTATGAACACATCTAAAAAGGAAATACCATTCTATAACAAGAATCAACTTCAAGTCAGTTTTGTAGCAAATTAAAATTTTTAGCACTTTTTGTATTCACTTCTTTGGTTTGAAATAAATTTCACTAGAAATATGACCACTTGGGATATTTTAAATAAATGATGTCAGACAACCTTACATGGTAGCATAAGTTCACCAAAATTCTATGTCAGTCAAGATGTGTTTTCTGTTCAGTTACAAACAATATTTGCTCACTTAGAATGAGGTCTCCTTGTCACAAATATTGTGCTAAAGTTAATTTTCATATGGATTTGAATACATTAATTTCAGCTTCTATGGAGAAAGCAAGACTGCTTCAAACTTTAAATTTAGGTTAAAATAAGCACTTGTTTCTGAACTTTATAGGTTTTTAAATACTTTTCCAAAAAATACCTGAAATAGTCTTTCCCTCAACAGTCTAAAAATCATGAAATGTACTGAATGTAGTGTTTGAAGGTCAAAAATGCTTGATTTGTTCAATAACAAAGTCCCTTACTGAACTATTTCTGGAATGTGTAAAAATTATAGTCCAGCTTTTCTGAAATCTTTAATTTGCAGATGCCCCTTGAGTTTTACAAATAACCTACTTGTAGAAATGGATAAGAAGTTTACATATATTTCATGAAGGCTGTTTGAGGGTGGGAGATTTGTAGATGGGAAGAATTATCCTTCATCCCTTTGTGCAGATTAAAAAACCAAGCCCCCAAAGGTCTTTTTTTTTTTTTTTTCAAGATGGAGATGCATTCATGAAGTTTTACTGAAGCTGTTTCCCTCACCCAAATGAAGTAACCAGTCACTTTTACTCAAAGTTCTGTTCGTATTCTCAAAATGACACTGTTCAGTAACCCTAGAGGCTCAGCTGTTAAAGTCTCTGGTCTTATAAAAATAGTGAAGATGTTTCTTAAGGCCCCAAAGGTCTTAGTTTTGAATCTGTACAAAGGGATGAATGATAATTTAGCTTTAGATACTGCCCTAAGTTTGCATACAAGCCAAGGATGGAACCCAAGTACAAAGCTGGTCTGGGTTTTCTGGTCCACATCACAGTTTCCTAACACTCCCTTCTCTGGCCCTTTCAGATGAATCTGTCAGCATGCCCAGTGTGGTAAGTGAACAAGAAGCTTACCTCCTGAGTGCCATTGGAAGGAGGCGGTTCTCCAGCCATGTCTCCGGCATGTCTGCACCTCAGGCTGAGGTGGGCATGTTACCCAGCCAAAGGTAAAGAGCCACGGATATGTTACACTCTGCCTTTGAGGGCAAAGGTAGAAATTCTGAAAACTCACTCCTGTTATTCTAAAAAAGGATTAAAGAGAACAAACAATCAATGTTGTTAAGTAGACCATTCAAACAACTTTTCAACAAGGGTTGCACAGGCAACAACTTGCGGAGAGTTTTCTAAGCCAGGCCAGTAGAAGGGATCTCAATTTCTGATCCAAACATTGTTTCTCCTTAAAATTTTTCTATAAACAGATATATGGTCTTCTTTCAGATGACATTCTTGTATTTCAGCTATAACATCAGCTAAGCTAATAATGAGTACCTGGCAAGTGTATAGGACTAGCTTGATATATGTGGTAGTTTAGACTTCTGGTGTATCGTCAGTTTTTAGTTGGAGGTAGTGATGCTTAACCAAGCAGAAAAAGACCTATGCCACTATGTGTGATGTTGGGCAGGTCATTTAACAGGAGCCCACTGTTTTCTCCTCCGTGAAATGAGAGGTTAGCTAAAGTTGGTCTTTAAGGTAACTTCTCTACCTAGAGAGTTTTATGTTTCCATAGCTAAACTCCTTAAAACATTTTCTTTGGTGTTCTCTGCCCTCTAAGAATATAGATTTAAAACTTTATATATATAGTTTACCATATATATGGTTATATAGGAAATGATCTGACATAAGAAATAAAACATTATCTATTTCAGAGGCAGTATTTTTACTTCAGAAACTGAATTCTTTCAAAGAATCAGTCTTATGTGTTTTTTTTATCTAGTTTGTTGTTTATTCTTATTACCTATAGAGTCATTGTGGTATAACTTATACACGGAGAATAAGAACAATCAGGGCACATTCTAATGATCAGATAAAATTAGTTTACATGCAGAAATAATTTCCTTAGACCTATATCCTTTAGCAACTCATTCCTGAACTGTACAGATGAAATAAAATTTGTGAAATAAAGCCAAACTTTGGAGAATATTGAAAAAAATAGGGGGAAATGATAAAAGATTAATAAGTAAATTGCATACTTTAGAAGAAAGCATTATTTATGTACTATTGAGTTATTACAAAAATTGGTAGTATATAAGGATTACTATCATTGTAAGAGATTGCTTTACCTACCATTTGGTAATTTATCTTTGAAAAGGAAGTCTTATAAATAAAATATATGAACAAAATCAGAGCCAAACTATAAAATATCCAAAAAAAGATGTAAAGCCATACAAGCAGTTAATACTGGTAAGTAGTGATTTATTTTTAATTGCTAGAAATGTGCAAACTTCTATCAAGAATAAACGAAAACTAGCAGTCTGTCTAAAAGTTTAAATTAGGGAATTTTAAGTAAAGAGTTTTTTGGTTATTTACCTAAAATAACTAGGCCATCAAGTCCCTTTGTACATATCCATTAAGGAGTTATCTCATTTCTGGGGAGAAAGTTTGTTCTATTACGGATATACTAGAAATCCAGAAAAATAATATAGTTAAACCCTCTGGGCTAGGGAGGGTAATTATGTCTCTGTGTGTTAGGGAAAGCCTCTTTCTGGGGATGGTTGCTATTTGTACAGTATACAATTAGGTGAACAACAATTCTCTAGAGGCAGACACTCCAATTTTCTAAATTGTTTAATTCCATCCATTTTAACAACTATTTATTGAGTGCCTCATGAGTACTTAGCTTAATGCTAGGCACTGAAGGAAAGGGAGAGAAAGTGTAACACAGTTTCTGTTCACAAATTCCCAAATCAGTGTGATCCAAATAAATCGATAAACTAATTATTCTTTCACCAACCTGACAGGTTTCTTCTTTTGACATTTACAATTCAGTCACTAGAGGATGGAGTGAGGACGTAAATGCGGGTTCCATGTGAATTTTCCAGGGTTATCTTCCTTCCATTTGTTTACTTGCATTTTCACTGCAAAATTAGCAGGTGAAGTCGGGTTCTTTCTTTGCTTTTCTTAATGGCATCAGTTCCAAGAGTTGGGTTGTGGCAGTTCATGGTAAGTGGTTTCTGTGTGATCATGTCATAACACACAAGAAAGAAGCAGGATCCTAATCAATGAAACATCTGTACGTATGACAGGTGAAAAATCATAACCAGCCAGCCAGATGGTTACCAAAGGAATGATAGTTTTGTCTTCTACAGATAAATTCTGCAGTGTGTTCCAGAGCTCCCGTGTCCATTCGGAGCTCGTTTTAAGTCCCAACTCTTGACCAATAAATAGATCACTCACTCCTCTGAGAGTCGTATCCACCCGAAGCCCCTCCTCCCCGTTGCCTTGAGTCCTAGGTCTTGACAAACCCAGCACAAGGTGAAATGGTTGACTGTCTCCTTTTCCTTCCTTGTTCTGTTAAATTTATTTATTTATTTTTGGTTCTTGGAAGCAGAAAAGTGCATATGCTTTTTTTCTTTTTCTTCTATTTGTTTGCATTTTCTTTCCCT